TAGTCAAATTATATCACCTCATCATCGTAACCCTGTCTCTTATACACATCTAGATGTGTATAAGAGACAGTATATATACTGTATATATAGTATATATATATCACCATAAAAATATAGCATGCATAAATACATTCATTAAATCAACTTTCAAATATAGGCTAATTATAGAATTATTTATAACGAATTGAATTTTGAAGTAGTATACAAGTAATGATGGGCCTCCATAACTAGCTGAAAAATAAACACCAATTTGCTATATTAGTACATAATTAAAATGCTTATATAAATTAATTCTTTAGTGCTAATTGCATTCTGTACTGTAATTGGTGTTTACACTCCTGGATGTCAGGGAATAAATTTGTTTTACATACCATGACTATTATTATAATAGTGGTGGTAGAATTAGCGTTATCCAGGGCCGCGACGAGGGCGCTTCTACCACACCCCAATACTGTACTGTGGATATTTTATACATCACTGCAAACATTTAAGGCAAAGAAGTGCAGGCGGATCCAGACCTTCGGAAGGTTAGGGAGAGAAAATGATTGCAACTTAATGAATAATGATGTTATTTAAAAGGGACTAAATAATCGGCAGCTACCTATGGCAGGGTTTGACTTATTTTTATGTTATTGAGATAAATACGTTATTTTAGATTAGTTTTAGAAATAGTATAATAATAGTGCATAATCTTTTTCGAAATGTTGACTTATGTTGTGTTAATAAAAATGTTCTTACGAAGCTGGATATACCGGTGATACATTCAAATCCCCCTCCCGAGTAATATTACCATTATTTGCCAGAATTAAATTCTCTTGACCGGTTATAAAGTATATACACCAAACATATAGTAACTCAGAGTTTTAGTTGTTCGATTAGAAAACATTTGTAGGTCTTTTTAAGTCATTGTAAACTTTAACTTCAACCAAACATGATATGTTTTGTAGTTTTGGATAATTTTTTTTATTCTGTGTTGATTTAATTTGTTTAGAATTGTCATGTATAACATCATCTAGTTTTTAATTAAACAATATTGCTTCGCTAAACCTTTTTGGATTGTGCGTGGTATTTTAACAACTTATGGCTTTTGTATAACTTTTTTAAAGTCTGAAATTTCGAGTGCGATGATATTCGTTTGCTTAAGATATTTTGCTCACTTTCAACCAGGGATATATTAATCCAACATTTGTTTTCCATTTGACAGAACAACCACAAATTACGCTCTCTTCCCTCACGACCCCGCCCTCTACTTTTCTCCATTTGTAAGTATGAAGCCCTGGGATTCTACCTGCGCGATTAGTCAGGATGAACCCATGGATCTACGCCGCCTATGGCTGGGCAAAAAATAGTGTTGTAAACTGAGAAGGGTTAAAGATGGACAAGAAGAAGCAGCTATCTAACAAATTAAGAGATATGAGAACAGTGTTAGAATATGCTGCCAGAATTGTAGCATGTAGGTCTTACTTAGGAGAGGTGTAGCTGCGTTGAGAGCATTCGTGTATGCACGATCGTTTTGGATGAGGAGTAGGCCTACTCTATACATCGTATTAAAATTCCTTAAAATTTCAAATCTTAAACCTCTTCAAACTAGAAGATGGCACATTTGCTAGAGATTTTACTCCAAAGAGCACGCTTTAATGTTTCCCTATCTCTCGGTATGGTTTGGTATGACCTTACTAGCATTCACGTCCTCATCATCATGATTATAATAATGATGATTCATCTTAATTTTCATCAGCGTCATCTTTATTTCTATTATCGTATTCGTCGTAGATGACGTCGTCAACATCTTATCATCACCATCATCATCGCCAATATCATCATCATTAGCATGACCATAATAATAGTAATAATAATAATAAGATTTATAAAGCGAACAAATCATCATCATGACCATCATCATCATCATCACCTACATCATCATAATTAACATTATTATTACTATCATCATTATGCGCCTTATAAATCCATTGATTGATTGATTGATCATCCCCAATATTAAAATAATCCTTTCACACGGCATAACTGTTCCAGGAATACCGTACAAAGTTCAAAACATAGGTTTAGCAACAACATAATTATCACTCATTGTATTAAAAAAAAACACACGCTAATAGACTATCGGCTTTATTGCGTTCTTTTATTTATATTTTTTTATGATTCATATTATTTTTTCATATAATTTCAATGTATTTCTTATGGTACAACATTAGGCACACGCCCATTAGTTTATTACATTACGTTCACAACTTTAATTTCACACTCAAGGTAAGCTAGGCCAGGTCCATATATTAAACCCTCTGAGTATTCGTCTGGTGTTATACAAGACAAGGTTTGACCGACGTAAATTTACTTTGCCATGCCTTCATTAGCTTTGGCATACTGTATTAATGAAATAATTACTATATTATAAATGATACATCATCAACATCAGTACGGGTATTGGGTTTCGTTTCTAGTCTAAATTGCTTCGTAATGTTCACTAAATATGTTGTGCACCAAAGGAAAATATCATTAATCGGTAAAATCATGAGCAGCTTTTCTGAATTCTTTTAAAAACAGAACGTGGGTGTAATAAATAACTGTACACGTCAACCATCGATCGTCTGCTGTTGCCTATTGACCCCTCGTATCAGAAAACACTCCAGCCATTTACTCGAGGGCTGTTACTTTTTGATCCACCATAAGAACGCTATAAAATAGACATGATAAGTGAAAGACAATTTAAGTACTCTTTTCGTACAATTGAACTTACACCCTAGAACATTTGGTAATTTCCCTGACAAGTCATTTTTGTTATTGCACAATAAGTCGGTGTGCATGAGGTTTTTATTTATTTATTTTACTCTTTGTCTAAGTTCATCGGATAACAAAATTTAATAGCACAACGCCATTCAAGTTTCAGCCCTTTTAGAGAATGTCCATAAAGCGTCCCCCAGAACTGTGGTGAGTCATCTACGGATTTCAATGACCATTTTTGTGTTTAATTCTGATAACGCATTGATTTTATTATTTGAATGCGTAGAGATATGATGACAGGAAACCGTAATTTCCTATTTACATCCCTTTTGTATTGTCGTCTTTGAATTCAAGATCATAAGCACGTTTTCCGAACGGCGCCCCCTTGTGGAATCGAAGTTTCAATGTATTTCTTATGGTACAACATTAGGCACACGCCCATTAGTTGATTACATTACGTTCACAACTTTAATTTCACACTCAAGGTAAGCTAGGCCAGGTCCATATATTAAACCCTCTGAGTATTCGTCTGGTGTTATACAAGACAAGGTTTGACCGACGTAAATTTACTTTGCCCTGCCTTCATTAGCTTTGGCATACTGTATTAATGAAATAATTACTATATTATAAATGATACATCATCAACATCAGTACGGGTATTGGGTTTCGTTTCTAGTCTAAATTGATTCGTAATGTTCACTAAATATGTTGTGCACCAAAGGAAAATATCATTAATCGGTAAAATCATGAGCAGCTTTTCTGAACTCTTTTAAAAACAGAACGTGGGTGTAATAAATAACTGTACACGTCAACCATCGATCGTCTGCTGTTGCCTATTGACCCCTCGTATCAGAAAACACTCCAGCCATTTACTCGAGGGCTGTTACTTTTTGATCCACCATAAGAACGCTATAAAATAGACATGATAAGTGAAAGACAATTTAAGTACTCTTTTCGTACAATTGAACTTACACCCTAGAACATTTGGTAATTTCCCTGACAAGTCATTTTTGTTATTGCACAATAAGTCGGTGTGCATGAGGTTTTTATTTATTTATTTTACTCTTTGTCTAAGTTCATCGGATAACAAAATTTAATAGCACAACGCCATTCAAGTTTCAGCCCTTTTAGAGAATGTCCATAAAGCGTCCCCCAGAACTGTGGTGAGTCATCTACGGATTTCAATGACCATTTTTGTGTTTAATTCTGATAACGCATTGATTTTATTATTTGAATGCGTAGAGATATGATGACAGGAAACCGTAATTTCTTATTTACATCCCTTTTGTATTGTCGTCTTTGAATTCAAGATCATAAGCACGTTTCCCGAACGGCGCCCCCTTGTGGAATCGAAGGCCTTTTGATGGGTTTCGCCTTACTTCCCTCACAATTTCATCAGCTTCATCTCCGAGTTCGTATGGGTCACGTTTTGCACTTAATGAACCGCTCCTGTAAAAACCATTCTGTAAAGAACAATTACATGCTATTACATTTAAATCATTTGTAAACGTTTGAAAATTGAGATTCTAGCCATATTATGTGATATGAAATTTTCCTGCAATTGAAGAAAACATGGCATAATTTTTACGAGATGTTTTGATATCAATATGGTACTATTTAAGATCGTTAATCCCATGACGTTAAGCTATCATAAGTATAGATCATTGAAATAACACAGCCTCATCAGGGTACAGTTTCCCTGGCCTTATTAATAAGTACAAAACAACAAAGACATTGTCTTTAAATATTTAGGACTTATAGTGATTATTTGAACTTATTGAAATTCCCACATGGATATCAATATAAACAATTCATGTTTACATTGATTTTGCTTCAGCTTTCTTTATGTGATACTTTAAAAAGGCGATGGTAAAGGTTATTCACAAAAATATGTTCAATTCAGAAATAATGTATCATTATTATTATTATTATTATTATTATTATTATTATTATTATTATTATCATTTTATTATTATTATTATTATTATTATTATTATTATATTATTATTATTATTATTTTTATTATTAATATTATAAAGAAATTATACTGACAGAGTTGTACACCTGACTTACTTGACCAAGAGTTCCACTGGCAAAACCAAAACGTGCATTAGGGTTGAGCATCCCATTATAACTTCCTCGCCTATAGTCATCTGATGCCGCATTTACAAATTCAGAACATAATACCATGGCTAAAATCACTGCAAAAACACATTCCTTATGCATCTGGAAAGAAATATACAAAAAAATTATATTTATTTTATTGTTTTAACTTATTTTATCTCAAAAATCTTTATAGACGGTAACCCTTTCAGCAAGGCTGATATTCAGGGACCTTTTATGTATTTGATAAACCTCTTTGGATCCTACCTCGTCTGTTATTGTATAGGCCTAATACTGTATGCTTATGGACGGTGTGTATTTTGATTTCTGTCCCTAGTGAGTACTTTTGGGAAGTTAGTTCTGTTTTGATTTTTGTTTTTGTTTTTTCTTTCTTTTTTTTCGTACAAGAGGGTAATAAAAACCGGATTACCGACATATTATGTAATGTATCGATCAATCAATATAATTTCAACAATAATATACTATCAATTATGTCCATTATACTGTGTATATTGATTATTAATGTATAATAGACTTGATGTAAACATATAAAAAATGTAAAGTACACAAGTCTGTAGGCCTATAATGTAAAAAATACAATCAATAATTCTATATATATATATATATATATATATATATATATATATATATATATAAACAAACAGATAAATAACAATAATATTAACAGTTCTCAAATAGGAACATGATATCATAATCGTATCAAGCATTGTCCTGCAACAGAAACCTCCCTTTCGATTTTTATGAAAAAAAAAGTGTCTCCGACAGGATTAAAATCTACAAACTCTCAATAATACCGTTAGACCACAAAGACCCAACGAGATCTAGCCCTAAAGAACTCTCATACAATTGACATGTAATGCAGTATGGTTATGCTAGAAAAGCTAATAGGTCGCAGATTTGAAATTATACTAGATAATATTCAAATTAGGAATAGGCTGGACATCCGCTATAATAATTGCCTTAATATCTTCATTTTATTCTCCGAGTAGGCCTATAATAGGTTTGTATAACCTTCACAATTTTTTCCTATTTTACAGTATTATACTGTACTTGTATATTTATTTTGCTTTATTTTTCGTATACCTCTATAATTGTGGTTCAATTCTCTGTGATCGTACAGGACACACGTTAGACTGGATTCAAAGCATCCAAAATGTCATCAAGTACAATACTTTAGTAAAACATTTTACACACAAACGGTACGAAAAAAGAAAGAAGTGTTGCAGTAATGTGTAGAACAGTAAAAATCGTCTTGGCGGCGTACATATTTTATATGTTATTAAATTTAACAAAATCTTTGAATATTTAAATAATATATCAATAAGTAAGGATGAAAGCCTATGGCCAAAACCTTTTCTTGTTTTGTTCAAATAAATATGGAAATTTGAATCCTCTAGCTTTTTTCGTTAAGGTATATATGGTGTGTAAATGACTTTTTCTGAAAAAAATAGTTCATAGCCAGCTACCGGGTTACACTAATGAAGGCTATATAGTAAGTAAACAAATATTTAGTATACACAGTCTAATAGACATACAAAACTAATTAGACAGTGATAGCAATATGTATGTTAATACACTTTGGAAAAATCTAGATGATCTTCCTTTAAATGCGTCAGATCTAAATTTTCCCATTATTGGTAGACCTATTGGTCGTAATTGAATTTGCCATTTATCTCTATTCGCAATTGGTAGATTTATTTTACAAAATGAATGAGTGGCATAGACAATTCTAATTTAAACGGCACTCTCGCTTCTATTTAATTTTAGACTTTGAATTAGAAATGAAATATGATATTAACTCTCGAGAGGCGATGGCGTATCTTCTTTCTGCTCTATGCGATATTGACTTCAAACCTATCTGGATTTTTAAAAGATCATTTTTCAACTAAAGACATCCTTATATCTTTATTTCGATGTGACAGTACTAAATAATAGTAATATAGGGCTATTTATTTGAAATTCTGAAAGTAATGATATTTGAAGAATATTAAGTAATTTAAACTAGGCCTATGTATTTTCAACTGCATTTTCTTAATAGAAAGCAGACTGGATATATACACAACATTCCTAAATACAGATTTGCAGCAACATTTTGTATATAATTGAACATTCACTTCGAACATTTTCTGAAGTAAAAAAAAATCCATTAAATTACGTCCGTTCATCAGACATAAGTACTGAAATTAATACAATTGTCAATCCGTCACTTAATGTTAATAAACGATTTAACTTATGATATCGTTTATTATAAAATGTAATAGAATATCATGTTGAAATTTGGTTGCAAATCACTGTTAGCATGTCGTCTTGAATTTCCAGATTGATTCAACACTCGAGCCATTACCTCGGTCAATATGTCATATCTTAAATTAATATTGAATTTAATTTGTCATTGGGGTTTCCTCGGTTTATCTTTACTTATGTCAACTTTTGACGATCGTATATAATAGCAGTGCGGTTAATGAAGTAAAATGATTTATTATGACCGCATATTTTATATCAAAAAGTAATTAAAAAGTCAAAATATATAACATCGTGGTCTTACAGTAACTGAATAAGCTTAAATATTTATAATTCACTTGTATAATAATCGAATAAGCCAAACAAACTTTATATAATAATACTATACTAAAGACAACAACAACAACAACAGCCGACAACAACAGCCGACAACAACATGGATGGCCAATATCAAGAAAAAAACCAGATTTTTCACACACGGGTCTATGCACGCACTTGCTCAAAAACGCACCGAATGGCGGAAATTAGTGAGATGCGCGATGTCTAACGACGACTAGCGTTCAAGAAGAGATACTCGAAAGATATAACAAATTTTATCTTATGATTATTGAACAAAGTTTTTATCATGATCGAATAAAAGATGAATAATTAAACAATTCAATATTTTATAATTCAATGATTGTTAAATATGCCTACAAAAAACTAAAGTAACCGCATCATTCTATAATACAGTTTATAGAATACACATTTGTTGAGATTTGAAAAACGTCTATTTTTAGTAAATTTTATTGAGAAAATCTTCCTCGTTATTTAATAGACAAACCCAATAATAGGCTACCTCTCCTGATTCTTTAGTTGGTAATCAATTTAAGGTATTTTGTAGTAAAGCGTATCTAAATCGGTAAGAACTACTTTTGTTCGATCCTTTTCAATGAGCCATTCAATAATTTAATACATTTTTTGAATTTTTTCCCCAATTTTTTGTAGACAATGCATCTTTAGACATAATCGTAGTACGATCAACGAAAATGGTGAAAATGTCGAAACATCTTTAGGTGAATTTGTTTACAAGCTATAATAATAATAATAATAATATGTCTAGTATAAATTTTCCATTATTTTTTTTCGCCAAAGTGAAATCTGTGAAAATTTATATTAGCTGCAAATACGAAAACAATATTGTTATTTCTTTGAATAATTTAATTTCGACCCATTAGTATAGTTATGTTATTTTTTTTTTATTTTATAATAGTTCGGGCAAACAAGTAAAATAAATATCAAAACATTACATTAATAAACAATGAAAAACAAGAGAGAAAAAGAAAAGATTAACTGACATAGCCCTGAGGAGGCCAAATAGCGCTTGCTAATAGTAAAAGCCTTTTCAACAACGCAATCAAAACGAACAGATATCAATGAATTACAGCATTTGAAATATGTAAGGCATATTTTTCATGGAATTATTGATCTACTATAAGAAAAATCATATGATGTTTTACTCACACTCTATGTTTCGCAAATGTTCCGTTCGCTGTCTCAATAATTGTATTGGATCAACAAAAATAAATGTCAATGACAAATATCGTAGGCCTGTAACACTGTTCCTAATAGTAATAGCTGGTGTGCTGATAGGTAAATACGAAAGTATCTATCAGAAATTTAAAAAAATACTGAGTACCAAAACAATATTCAACAACAACTTAAACTTACCTTTCCTAAAATGTGTTTCTTTTGGGTTAGTGCTGTAATGAGTTTCACGTTGTGTAGTCGTCGCTAGTGGTGTTGCCTTTGTGACGAGTTCACTACATTTATCTTCTCTTATAAAGGGTGTGAATGCAGCAGTAGAACACGAAAGTTCTAATTTACGACTAGATTACGTCACGGAGAGCTGCATCCACGCTTCGTGCTTACTGAGTCACTTTCCATTGGCTGTTCAATTCAGTTCCACAACACACAACAATTCCCAATGCATGGGTACACGGTGCTTCCTTTTATTTTTTGAAATATGAATCGTGGCAAAACTTCCATTAAGAATCTGCATAATGTTTGCTATACACTTCTTGGATCTAGGTAAAGCAAAGCAAGCAGCTACGCCCATTGTCCATGACTCCGGGTTACACTGCTTACCGTAATGTAAATACACTAAATTGATTTCTGAACCTGAACATCAGAATCGTTTTCTAACTTAAGCATTATTATCCATTTTGGGTCTACTTCATCGAACGTTACACTACACCTGTTTAAATCTCTATAAAACAAAACAAAACATTGCAGACGGCAATGATTGAAGATTATATCCTAACGCCTCTCGCAATCGAGCAATTTATGCAAAAGCTGTTTTCATCAGGGCTGGTAGCTAAGAAGAAAAGGTGCTTGTTTAGTTTCTGACTTGTTTTGTGGCTGATCTGAACAGTTAATCGCACTCGAGCGATTTACGATAAGCTTTTTCATAAAAACTGGTAGCACGAGGTAATGTGTTATTCTTTGATAAGCCATGTTTTTTTTTACATAATACAATTATTATTCAATCATACTTTAATGTGTAACAGTATTTGGCAAATACTTGCACTGCTGTGACGTAGAAAATTAAGCTTGGATTGAATTCACTTCAATTTTGGATTCACTGCAATCTTTATGATATTGTAATGACACTATTTTTTACTTGGTAATGTACATAAATCCGCTGATTATCACTGAATGTATACGTGGATTTCGCGGGTAATTAAGAAGTTACACAATGTTTTGACAGGTAATTTAACTGACATTGTAAATCAAAATGTCTGTGCTTGAGTTTTCTTGTTTTTTTTTTTTCTTGTTTTTTTTTAATTTGGATTCTAGTGCTGTTTATAGAAAGTTCAAAATCACTAAGTTGCTTAAATGCGTTGAAGGTACGAAATAACGATCTAACTTACCAAATTTATCTAGCATTCTTACATCTTATTCACAATAGCGTCTAAGCGGAACCGTCAGCAAAAAGTAACCCGGGCCTATATTTTATTTGTTTTGCTGGCATTGTTACATAGAAACTAATATACGGTACTTAATGTTCGAAATATTATGTTCTATAATAAATCATCTTACGTAACAGGTCATTTCGGCTCAAAACCAACTCTGAACAGACGATAACTCAACAAAAACGAACTTGAGCCAGACGACAACTCGAACCAAAACCAACTCGACCCAGACGACAAAACTCGGATAATAAATGTTATAAAATTGAATTGAAATGTATATAGAATTCCACACCGATGTTAACATTTTGATAGATTTGATTTATTGATCTTATTTTATATTGAGTTTTTATTGCATTGTATTTATAGTACTTTATTTTTATATTTTTTCTGTATAGTTTTGTGATTGCATTATGTTTTACAGGAGGGCCTATGATCGTCAGCATACCGCTGTTTTGGGTCACCCTAGGTAAATAAAGTTGAATAAAATAGAAAATAAAATACAAAAAAAAATCATTACTGAAGTATGTATATTATTATTTGTCCAAATCATTCGTTTTAGTATTTCTAACGTGTATTATTTAATATTATGAATATATAATATATATATGAAACGCTTGTATTTTTTAACATATTTATATGTCAAAATTATTCGTATTGACATTTATAACGTGTTAAATAATATTTTTCGTCTATAAATATAGCGTATTCTGTTAATGATTCCTAATAATTTTTGTTTAATGTATCCGTACTGTTATTTTATCTAACTTATGTATTCGTTTTATCTGTTTCTAACGTTATTTGCGTAATATTTTTGGACATAATGTTTTTCTTTATTCATATAGACGTCTTTTTGTTATATGTGTAATAATTTCTAACTAATTAAATTAAATATTTATAAAATTGTATTTGAGTAAGGCCGAACATAATACTATTATAAACGTATTAAATCCATCATAACATAATTCTTAATTTGACGTAATATTTTCGGACATAATTTTTTTCTTTATTCATATAGACGTCCTTTTGTTATATGTGTAATAATTTTTAACTAATTAACTTAAATATTAATGAAATTGTATTTGAATAAGGCCGAACATAATACTATTATAAACGTGTTAAATCCATCATAACATATTTCTTAATTTAACTGACATTTTAAATCAAAATATTTGTGCTTGAGTTTTCAGGTTCTTTCTAATTTCGATTCTCTAGTGTTGTTTATGGAAAAGTTCAAAATCACTAGGAGGCTTAAATACGTCGAAGGTGAGAATTAACGATTTAAGTTTATATTATTTTCCAAATATTTCTAGCATGTTTGCATCTTGGTCGCAAAAGCGTCTAAGCGAAACCGTCAGCAAATAAGTAACCTTGGCCTATATTTGATTTGTTTTGCTGGCACATATCAAGACGCCAATATACTTAATGATCAAAATATTTTATATGTATATATGTTCTATAATAAACCATCTTACATAACATAGATATATATTAATGTCAAATAAAAGGTTTATTTATATAGCACATATATGCCTATAGGATAAAGATATATAGGAAAATAAATTCTGAACTCTGAAAGGTAGCTTTATTCTCATAAATATGTTGGTTGCATGTGTGATCGAAATATTCGTGAGCAATGCAAGATATAATTTCATTATAGGCCTACGTCAACTTTTTTATCTGTTTACTTATGCCGTTCAACTATATATTGAATATCATATTATTGTTATTTATTAATTTATAGATAAAGTATTACCAAAAAATGAATTACTTTTTGTTTTGAAATAAAAAAAACCCAATATACCACGTATGGTATATTGGAAGATGATTCTAGATAGTAGTTAAACACTGCAAGCACAGCTTGGGTCACGCTCCCTCCGAGACTCCTTCGTTTAGTCTCCCGGTCCACGAACATCCCATTATAAAGTTGAAAGGTTATACAATAGGACCTTAATAAGAAAAACTAAATTAACCAAGACATTTACGTTTAAAGGAACCATAAATTTCATTAAAATGTTTGGGAAAATGTTGATGAACATCACTAACTTTACAAATTCAAATTCAGATCTTCACATTATAATGTGCCTATAGGCTTGTTGCTTATCACGGTAAAACATATGAGCATACAATCATGTTCGAGTTAAAGGAAAACATATTCAATAGCTAAAAACATAGTTTCTTTCTTTAGCTTGTTTTTGAAGTTTAAAATATCATATATTTTTCTAGATAAATATAAATTAATATATATGATTTTTTTAAGCGTAGGATTGTTTGAAATTAACCACGGAAATTCTTGAAAGTTTTCGTTTATCTAAATGCTTGGGATCATCATGTTTACAAGAAAAATAATGGTTCCATCAGCAGGCAGCAACAACTTAAAGGTTACATGCATGAAACGTTCGATAAATATTCAACATGAATTAAAAAGTCCAAAGATTTACCCTCGAAGGCCTATACATAAAAATGTTTTTCTTTGATCTGTTTCTGGTTGAGAAGTTATTAATTAAATTTTGAGAGGAATTCTCAGACTTTTTTGGCAGACGGACATTTTTAACGAAACCAATTACTTAATCGAACACACTTAAAAAAGAGGAAAATACCGGTAGATGAAATATGTTATCAATGATTTAGACATTTTAATTATATTAGCACTAAATAACATCAATTACAGTGAATATTTTTCAAATACTTGATAACCTCATCTAGAGAAAGACGTTTAAAGAAAATTGGGGAAAAAATGTAATTGCCCAATGTATTTTTAACATTCACGTTGGCGTTTCGATATTGCTCATCAGTGGTTGAATGATTGGATAAGATGGTTGCAATCAATATGGTCAATAATAAAATCAGCCATGGGGTAAGATTTTGTTTTTACTTTTTATGGCTGGAATAAGTACATCGTGTTTGTCATTAAAATTATGTGGATTCTCCTAACTTGGGCGATGATTACACCAAAATATAATATAATTAGATCTGGTTTCACTGAAGTGTGGCCATTAAACAAACTTTCAGATTTTGGAGATAAATCGAAGAAGTAATTCATCCTAAAGGCCACACCAACCCCGCCCCTGTATGAGAATCAATTAAACTATAATTATTACTCTAGATCTAAAACTAATACTATCTAATATAATCTATAATACTAATAAAACTAATAATGTAATTATAACACAAAGAACAGGATATTAGAGATAGATCCTATTTTAAAGCTATGCGTTTAACACAAAAGATTTCACGCCACACGTTTGCAATCAATAATAATAATAATAATAATAATAATAATAATAATAATAATAATAATAATAATAATAATAATAATAAATGATGAGAATTATACAAGAAAAGTAAATGTAGCAAATTATTAGTTAATTATACTTAAATTAGCTCTGGTCTTGAAATAGAAAAATGATGGCATTGTACCCCGTCGAGGCCATATTTTCAATTATTCCTAAGTGTGCATTTTCGCTTGTGTCTTTGAGCAAGGTGCTTTATCTGAGTTGCTTCTCTCCACCCAAGTATAAATGGGTACCTAGTTTGGAAAGCCTGCTACTGCGCCAATATGGCAGACGACATACTTTAATTTATGAGTAGTTTTCTATTCCGGAATTACTACGGACGCTAGCCTTCACTGAATGCTTTAGCCACGATGTTTTTAGTCCACGATGCGTCTTTCCCCAAGCGGTAGCAAAATCTTTATAGTAATTCGTCGACCTTCTTTAAATCCAAATGCCGCTGGTGGTCGATAGACAGTATACATGTTCACGCTTCGGATTAACCTGGCGTCTTATTCCTACTACTGTAGCAGTCTTGATTTCAATACACTCAAATTCACTTTTCTGATCATGGTTTCTTCTATTATTTTGATCTCCATAGTCTGTGCTACTGATTTTTGTCTGTCTTTTTCCTCTGACCAAATCACTCAATCCATTAAAATGTACGCATATTGTCTTTCATTTTTTAAACGTGGCCTCCATTCAGTTACTCTTCTTTAGTTTGTGTATTACAGTTAGTACCTAACCTAACCATGCCCATTCGTGTTATCCCTATCATTGTAGGTTTCATTGCTTTGAACTTATTTCTGCTCCATTCGTTTTTATCACGTCTCAGCTCCATGTCTGGTAAAATACATTGGTTTTAATTCAACGATAATTAATAAATTTTAAATCACTTTAATTGATAACGTTAACTAATAATGTCGCCAAATATTTATTAATTTAATCATTTACGTTATAACCTAAACTTAAATCCACAGTACCGCATTTAACGAAGTTCAACATTTGAAAAAATTCACACATAATAGCTCATTTTCTTAAGCAAAATTAAAAAAAAAATGCTGGTACCATAAAAATTACAAGAAGGAAGGCCTCTCCTCGCTACACGCTTTCCTAGTCTCTGAAACGTTGATTGGTCGGCCAATTTGGAATGCATTCACGAATGTGTCGCAGTAGAATAATTTCTCTATGGTAGCGACAGTGTAGCGACTTTGCAGAAATCAAGTCGTTAAGCCTAGGCCTACTCACTGCGCAATTATAGGGAGAACGCAACGTCAAGACGCACGTGCACGGTGCAACAGATCCTTTTTTAATGACGACCCGGTCAGATTGTCACCGACAATTAGCAGACGATGTCGCTAGTTTAGCGCTCTCAGGGAGCGCAGTTGGACTCGTCGTACGACCGTCATGTGACGCAGAGTTCCTGGCTTTATTTAAACTTCTAGCATGGAGATTATCTTAGTCACAGTGCTACAAACTCTCATAAAGAGAATAGAATAATTTTCATATTTGTTTGAAGAACCTTTTTTAACATTATTAATGTATTTGATTAATACAGGCTCAGGTACATTGATGTTCAAATAACCATGTCATGTAGCAACATATTGTGACAATTTATATAAGTACAAATCGATTATATATTATTATTATCACCGTCGTCATCAACGTTATCACCATCGTCATCATTATCATTATTATCATAATCATAAAATTCACCTTTGTTTCGTGAGAAAAATCTGTAATTCGCTACGCGTTGGTGTAAGAAGCATATAGGTAAAGATTCCTTATAACGCATTAAATTTAGTTAGAGTAAGAACTACTATTCAGTTACAAACACTGGGGTCTCATAAAAATGCTATCTTTGATCAATTGAAACATTCCTAATTTGTATTCATTATTAGAGGCACGTCTTTGATAATATGTTGCACTGCGTCATTCGAAATTAAGGTTTATGAAATATCTTCAACATTCTTATCATTTTATCAAGCACTGCAGGCAATAATTCTAGGTTATATATTAGATCTATATATTAGGTATATTATATTATATTGACAATCGTGAGGCCAAAATTAATTTTAAGTTTCGTTCTTTATTAGAACATTGTCAAGAATGAATATAGTCCGTGATGTTGACAATACTTAACTACCAGAAATCAGAAAACAAAAGATAAATTCTGACCAATCAGAAAAGGGTTGGGGGAGTTGAAGTGTTCAAATACAGGAAAAACCAGTGCGATTGTGAAGGATAAAAATTTGTGGTTATTAAATCGGGACTTAAAATCACCAGTTTCGTAATATAAAATAATGTCCAGCTTCACAAATATTGCAGAATAACAGATATACCACATTGTGAGCATCACAACTAAGACAGGGGAGACGAATAGTGCAACCAGAATGAGACATAGTAATAGAGTTAGTGGTGGTGATACACTTACAAATTCGATATCCAGGCTTGTGGCATATATGGTATTACTAACGGTCCTAGAAGATGAAAGTAAGCGGGAAGAAGATAGAATAGATTTGAGATTGGGTGGTTGGCGTTTGGCGTTGAAAAATTAATAGTTTTTATAGATGGGTGGTGCTCAATAGATTGAAAGCCTTGTTGAGTTTATTAGCTAGTTTGGAACAACTGGGACTGAAATCAATGACTAAGGGTATGCGTTCAGTCATGGGCTTAGTGCTAGGAGTGAGTCTAGATCTAGAAAATCAACTAGCTCTAGAGGTTTGCTTGAGGATAGATTTGAGAGATAATCATAATCGTCATCGTTTGTTGTTGGAGCAAAGTAAATAATCAAATTATGTATATATATTCATATATATATATTTATATTATATTAAATCGTCGCTCACATCACGAACTAACACAATTAAATTCAATTTTGATACTTGGAGTATGTAATGTACTATCTTATGTGACATTATTCAGTGGACCTTTCGGTGATTTACTTCCAATCCGACTTTTAGCTTTAATCAACTGTCTTCTTTTCATGTGTTCTAACTCATTGCCTCGATACAGCTAATCTATTCTAGCGCAATGCCGTGATATAGCACTGCCTCACTCCCTCACTTGGGTTTAAATTGATGTCTCGCTCCCTTTCCTCTGCTGCTTTATGTTCTATCCTACTGCCTCACTTCCTGAAGATTATTTTTATGGGTGAAAATGTACTTGAAAATGGGCTCGTGTGATGATAGGCCTACTTTTTTACACACTACCAGTTCGAAGATGCAGTAGATTGTGACATACAAACCAATGATCATTACCTAAACGCGCATTAATATCACCAAGGTAAATACAAATGTTTGCGATTACATACTTGAATGGAGCGGAAAGTTACGTAATTCTGTCATTGATGGAATGCGATTACTCTAAAGGTGCATTGAGACTTCGGTGAATTCCACTTCAACGTTTTTTGTCCAGAGTGTTTACCTATCTAAAGGAACCCGCTCCTATAGTCAGAGATAGTAGCAATATCAATGTCTGACAAGTGATCTCAATACAATAAACATTCTCCGTTCGAAATTCTCCAATCCTTCGCGAATTTCAAACGTTCAGTTACTTTCCTTGGATATATGTGTACTATATTTCTCTTGGTGGTGTAAACGGTCGTAGCTACGCAGGCTGCTGACCAGTTTTAAGTTTAGCCGGTGATGTTTACTCAACAATTCTTAAGACCTCTCCAAATTGGATGAACATAGTCTGGAAGATCCAGGTACATAATAACTCTGCCGGAGCAGCAGTTCCTTTCCAAATATTTCTTAGCAATGACGTTACGAGAGACACGTGTAGATGTGTGGAACATTTTAATTCAATAATTGTATAAACGTTTAATTCATTGTTTGGTTAGTTTTCGTTAGATTGTTTCTTTTTATGTTTCTTCTCAATAATTTAGACCTCAATGGAATAAGTTTGTCATTTTGGTATTAATTGATAATTGTCAATTAGACCTAATTTTATTTTTTTAAGATTTAATTTTCTTAACTCATTACGTAATATTAATAAAAATGTGTATCTTCCTTACTGATGAAAGGTGAAAATTTCTATCAACAGCAGAATAAGACACTGAAGTGACCATACCCACTTGTTCCAACGTTTGTTTACGCATAGGCCTATCTTGTGCCTGATCGTGTACCTTAGTATACGACAGGGAATTGCAATGTTCTGACATTAACATTTTGATTAAGATCTATGTCTTTTGGGACTGAAGCTAAAGTCACCATATCGAAGCAAATATAATTCAACTCACCTCTGTGTTTAATTGAATTGGTTCAAAATTAATCTAAGCAGCTTACAAGTAATGGTTAGGCCTACTTGAAATATAAAATGTATACAGTTGATGTCTCTAGTGACTAAATATTATGTGCCGTTGATAAGAGTTAAGCGATATGTATGCTGTAAGGTAGTTCGTCTGTAAACTCTACACATTAATCAAGAAGGTAGAAATGATTAGCTTAGCACCTATATCGTATTGACTTAGGAGTACGAGACAAAACTGACGAAGCGTCTCGTGAAAGAATACGAGCCGAAAAGGCCTACTTTGTAACATCATCATCTCATTGACGTTTTCTGTACACTTTGTTTATCAAGCCTTGAAATGGTGTATTCTCTGGTACCAATTACCGGGCGACTGGGCGTCATACATGTAACTTATTACAGTATGCCTTCATTAATTGTAATGGAACATAATTATTATGATTGATTTTTAATTTTTAAATTCGAGTTGATTTTGTACAATTAATTCCGCCAATGGAAGATGAATTTTCTTGTTTTTATTATTTTTACGAGGACAATAAAAGTTATCTATTCTGTCTATCATCTGTCTATTACCTCCTAATGAAGATTAAAGGTTGCTATTCACATACTGATGATGATTATGGTGACGACAATGATGACGATGATGATGCTGGTGGTGGAGGTATTGATGATTATTAATATGACAATGATTATGGTGATGGTGGTGGTGGTGATGGTGGTGATAATGTAGTCCAAAAAATTAAAAACGTAGGGTGATGATAATGTATAATGCTAAATTAAGGCGTAAGCATTGTAAAACAAAAATGCAAACTTTCGTAGTAACCAAAACTATATGAAACTCAGAATTATTATTGTAGAATGATGAGAAATGCTTCTCATGTTAAAAAAAAAATAATATGCTTACTGTTTACCAACAGCAAGACAATAGGCTACGTAGAATGTAGTGGTGACGAGAAGGTACTGTAGGATACAGTAGAAGAGTAAATTTCTTTGATAAACTGTAGGCATCAATCCCGCATTATTCATTGTTTTATACCATATTTCAAATAATCTACTTTTATTACAATAACTGAATGGAATAGGAGTCCAAACCCCTTTAGGTCGGTTGCAAATCTTAGTCGGTTTAAGAAAGTGTTTGAAGATAAGGTAGTTAACAGTTAACCAAAGACGATTGATAGATGGATTTCCTGACTAAGCTTGATTTAGTTTCAGAAGTTTCAAATTGTCATTTTCTTTGTCTGGTTTTATTTCCTATCAAATACATTTTGCTGCCTTTATACCAATTTAAAATACCTTTTTTTTGGGGGTGAAAATATAAGCCGAATAAGTTAATCTTATCTTTATCTTAATTTTTTTTATCTTATATCTAGAATCAGAGCCACATATACGTCAGAAAAAATAGTTCCAGTTTCCTCGGAAGTTCTACCCTTATCAAACGGTTATCTTTATTCCTCTGGTGCCCAATTCCAATACAAAAATGGGGCACCGAAGGGTAGCAAAATGCAAATATGCGTGTAGTACCTGTATTATGACTTTCAACCACCTCTAATTTATTCAAAATAAATCAAACATTGGATTACAAATACATAGAAAAAGGAAGTAAATAAATATACGTATTTTTTTGGGCTCATGCTTACCTCCAACAAGAACTAGCCGAGCTACAGACATGGCGGGCACCCGATAAAAGAGGTGGGGTGTGAGGATCGTGCTATAAAGAATAAATAATTAATAATTATTTGACACAATTTTATTTATTTGTCTTCATTACAAAAGCATTACAGATATTTTATTTATATTTGATATAATTATTTTTACAACTTCTTGTGGATATATGAGATAAAAATTCACCATTCACCAGTCAGACCTTTAAACACAAGAGGCTAATAAACAAATATCATACTTGTACCGACAGAAGATTGAAGCCAATTGGAATTATAATATAATTATTAATATTATGGCAGTCAAATTACAGAGCAGCTTATAGCATAAATCACTCATGAATTGAAATGAGGGATGTAATCCCTCAGACACGTATGCATGCATGTGTTTTATGTAGAGTGTGGTTCGCAGCTAATAGTTGACCACCATATTGGTAGATCGGAGCATAGATTGGAGATCATGGCGTCGGATGTCAGAACAAAATATTCGAGAGGAATCTGTTGACTACCCACAAAATGAAGCACCACGGGGTACTCGTCCACGATCTAATAAGAAAATAAAATAAGATAAACAATTTGGCCATGAATGTGTGAAAACATACGCCTGAGGAAGCATACAATAAAGTACCCAGCAACACAAAACTTTTTTATAGCATTCGCAAAAATGTTGAGGTATAACCGAAAAATAATACAATGTTCTTTAATGTTGCAAAGTTATTTAGTTGTGAATTACGTTATAAATACGAATTCATGGTTCAACAAAAAAAAAAAAAAAAAAAAAAAAAAAAAAAAAAAAAAGGTTTTGTACACCAAACTGTAACGTTATTGTACCTTTTGTCACAGGCCATTGCAAAAGTGTTTAATACATTTGTATTGTTGGCACTCGTGATTTTAAAGTTTTTAAAGATATAATAGGCCTATCAATACATTTCTACGAAATTAATTTAAATTGGTTTGTGTGTGTGTGTGTGTGTGTGTGGGTGGGTGTGTGTGTGTGTCGTTTTGAATAATCAAAATAAATATTTTGTATAACCTTTGCAAAAATCAAATTATGTCTGGTAATAATTTTTTCTGAGGAAAATTCAACATGCAAAGCACACACCTTATAGATGAGCTGGAGCGTGGCAGTCGCCCTGGTAACATAGCACGTTTCTTCATTTCTAACGACCACCATGTCCTAAGGGAATACATCAAGTAACATTTAAATTAGTATAAAACATACTTCAAATATTAGTGAGACTCGTCATTGTGATTCAATATTTCGATCATTTATTAGACGGATGATGATCTAATAAAGATCTAAATATTAAGTCACAATGACGAGTCTTACTATATTTGGGGTATGTTTTACAGTAAGTTATCTGAGACATATCATTGGACCTACTTGGTATTTTTTTAACATTATAAAGGTTTCTTACTTCATAGTTTCAGTAAATGTTCAGTTGGTGTGTCATTACAAATATTGCTAATCCACTATACCCACACACACCCTCTGTAGTGTCATATTTTGTTATACTGTCGCTCCCTTTATGGTCCCTTCCTCTGTAACTGCTGTGATCTTTCACTACTTGAGTACCAAGTTGTATCCATTCCTTTATATATATAAAAGTTTAGTTTTGGCCTTTCTGTTTACTCGTTTAGGCTGTTTATTCTAATCTCACCCAGCCTATTGTTTCCAATCATGCTTCCATGAAATTCTCACTTTATACCATCTAGCTTTTCGTACCCTCACTCACTCGCCACTGAGGAAGGACTAGTGTTGTCCGAAAGCTCTGGTTATATTTCTGGATGTTTACATACGTTTACTTTTTAGCTGTTGCTTATCATTTTTGTATCTCTACTGAGATCTAGCCATTGTTTCCCACAGCATTGTTGTTTTTCAGTATTTTGCCTTTTAATCTATATATATA